TGGCATGCCTCTTCAGTCCCTAGGAATCAAAAACAGTGGGACAAAGCACTTCTACCTACCCACCAAGGCAGACAATACACTGCAGGCTTTCGTCATTTCTAGGCTATTTAGTTTTTTGCTCTCATGTTTAGGAAAGAATAGAAAGCAGAAAAGTGAAGACTCCCCCAGCCACAGGTCACTTACACCCTGCAGCCCTCTCCCTGCCGAGTAAAGTGTGCAAGCACTACCCCCCATCTCCAATTTGCCCAGTGCAAGGCATGCTGGGCTGGGTGTTCACTCCCATCCCCTAGTGTCAGAGCCACAGCACATCACACAACTGTGAACCTGTTCGTAATCAGTGACATTTTGGAATGGCTCAGTTGTTATGTGTATCCGCACTTTGTGTTTTGGTCATCTCTTAGCTGCCTACAGAAAAATTCTCTTTTCTTTTCTTCTATTGCATCTCCTTCTTGCCTTCCTATATCTTATGTTACTTCCTCCAGTGTCTTTCTTGTTCACTATTGATCATTTGAGTCTCATTTCAAGACCCTCCACTAGCATCTCTTCACCTTACCACATTCTATCTCCTCTTCCTCACTTTCAAGGCCCCGCATAACTGTATCTTATTCCTATACCTCTGCTCCCATTTCCTGATATTCACCACACTTCTCAAAATCTACCTTCCTAAATCCCTATTGAATCTTTCTCCCACTCTTTCTTTATACTTTGTTTCATTACACCAAATATAGTGGCAATTGCTTCCTGCTTCCTTTGTTCCACTAACCTCATTAAAAGTTTCAGTAACACTTGGAAATTGGAACATTTTCTGATGCATTGCATGGGGGTTGGTCTCTGTCTATTTTAGAATCTGAGCTCATTGGTCTCATGTCTTCACCTCTGTTTAGTATAGGGCTGCGCATACTGTTGGTTCTCAATTTATAACAACCCTGAATTTTCTCCTCTTGTTCCATTTCAGCTGCAGAGTTGTATGAATGATACCACTATAAACAGGCTAAGTATCAGTTATGTCTCCCACTCAACTTTCAAAAAAAGAAGCTTACACTGTCCAGGAAGGCTGGACTGCCAGGATGAAGCCTCCTATTAAATGGACTTAGCTGTTGTGAAAAAGAGATCTTATGCTTGTCAAAGAAGTACCTGGATAAAGGAATGAGAGTACTGTGTTGACAGTAGCTTGCCTTAACGTCATTTTCCCATTCCTTGCTTAACATGCTGTTACTGAACTGAATAGATTGCATGAAATTTAGTCATAATAAAATGATGAAAGTAACCATTGTAGATCTCTATTCAAGGTTTCATATCTTGAATAGTGGGCTGATTCAGCTTCTCTGCCTTTCTATATCTTTGACAGATACATGTCTTATATCATCTATTTTTCTCCCCTGGCTGAGTATGCCTTACTTACTGCTTTTCCTCTCTCTAACTTATCTTCATATGATGTGCTATTAATCAACTGAAGACACCCTTCACTATTAAGTGTTCCTCAACTGATTTTTCTTTAGCACAAGCAGTTACTGGTTACAGGATTCCTCCCACATGGTGAAGCGGGGAGGAGGCAGTAAAGACTGTCTAGCCACATAAATACTATCTGGTATGTTTATACTCACCTGCCAGTTTGCTGCAATGCCTATACTGTTGCTTGTTCTTAGCTCAGTATATGGTGGGAGGGATGTTGAGCAATGCCTTGCATTTTTTTAAAGCTATTGCTCTTCATGTTCCTCCCTTCTTCTGATTAACCTGGCTCAATGCCTGTTCAGTAGCAACAATATTTTAATACCTGAAACAATATGTATACACTTTCCCAGCAAGTCATGCTTATCCATTCTCATGTTACCATATTTTTCTATGCTTGTATTATATCATTTTACATGCAAACTTTCAGAATCAGAGTACAGGGCTGAGGTAAAGGAAAGGAGAGAGAAAGAGAGGGAGAGAGAAGAGAGAGAAAAATAACACCCCATCAAGAATTTCAGCTGTTGTGAACACACCCAGTCTCCACAATGCAACAAAATGTGCGTGGGCACAGGTGGGTCCCAGTCTCTTTTGCTGGAGCAGAGCCCAAATCCAGAGTCTGAATGTCGACTTTCACTGCTGTTTGCTGTTTTTATTGGACTGAGGCCATTGCAAACATTTGCAGGTGGTTTGGCCATATTCTGACACTTAAATACTTGTGGTTGTGATAAAAATCAGAATATTGCTACAAGATGGGTCTTCAGGGCTTGATCCTACTCCCCCTAAAGTCAAAGAGAATTTTATCCAGTTGCTATCTATAATTCCTAGTGTTCATTAAAAGGCACATTCTCAGGGGGCACTTCATCTTCTCAGTAAATATTCACTTCTGCTTGAGGGTGTGAGAAAACAAAATCCTTTTCCTAATGTTTTACATACATGTGGGCTCAAACAGAACACTCAGATCCAAACAAAATCTGAACCAGGATTTGATCTCAATTTTTAAATAGCCAAACCAAAACCACCAACCTTCAGGATGTTTGTAAGCAGGTTCTGAATGTCTTGGTCTCAGAGTTTATGATAATTTGCCTAATACTGAAACCACTGCTGTGTCTGTGTTCCTCCTGAATGATTCTTGGTTATCATCTTAAGTTTAGAAGGGTACGATTAAGTGGAAATGACAAAATATGTTCTTTGATAAATGCTGCAAACATCACAGGGAAAAGTCTATGAAAAATAAAGTACTCAAAAGTTTGGCAAGAAGCTGAAGTCCAAAATATAGCAATTTTCTCCTAGAGAAACAAAACCTCCTTGGATGAGGGAAGAACGGAGAATAAAGTGTGCTGGAGGTCATATCACTCACCTCATTCACGTACAGAGAGCAAAGCTGCTGACAATTATTTCCTAGTAGAGTAGCTCTAGGCAGCATGCCTATATTAGTCAATCATGTACCAAAATGTAGATATATGTTATGAAATAAGTCACCACCGCAGACACTAGCGATTGACCAAACACTTTTCTCCTAAGTCTTCAGACATTTCTCATCTTGACTGAATGAAGCCTAATTCCAAGCCACTGAAGGCCCAAACCAAATGTACACATATATTTCGTTTTTGGCCTTCAGACTAGATAGATAGATAGAATATATATATTATATTATTAATTAAATATTTATTAATTAATACTATTTTATATCTTTATTCATTAATGTAATTTATTTCTGTTAAGTATTTCACTTCTTAAAACAAAAAAAAGTTGGTTTACCACCTGCAAACATCTCATGTGCACGTGCGCACGCGCGCACACACACACACACACACACACACACACAGACATAGGAGATGTTAGAAGGTGGTAAACCAACTTTTTTGTTTTAAGAAGTGAAATACTTAACAGAAATGAATGTCATCAATGAATAAAGATACAACAGTATTAATTTATAGATATATTCATATATATAAATTAGTAGGAATAAATTGTATTAATGAATAGATATAATTAACTAAGATAGAGATAGATCTATCTTAGTTAATTAGTTAGTTATATCTATAGCTATATACCTTATTTAGTTAGTCTATAAAGGTGCATACCTACCCTGCATTCTGACTGACTTTAGACTACATCACCAGCTACTTGTCAAAACCAAACTGACAGCACTCTACAAAACCACATATAATACTGGTTATAATACTGACATAACTTTTTGAAACCTGAATAAAGTCCAGTAAGATACACCTGATCCATGCACCAAATGCTTTTCTTCAAACTGGAATCATAATTGCCCCAGATAAGTTATATTAGAAACTGAATGGATAACTTTAGTTAATTAACGTAATTCATTTCTGTTATGTATTTCACTTCTTAAAACAAAAAAGTTGGTTTACCATCTGCAAACATCCCCATTGAGAGACTCGATCTTTGAAAACCTGCAGGCTTTTTAGTTAATGGGACACTCACAAGGAGTTATCTTACTTATATTCAGAGGTAGGGAAGATGCAGGTAAAAGGCATTTCAATCCTGTAACAGAAAAATATTGCACACAGTGGGCACTACCAGTTACCAATGATTAATAATAGCAGCAGCACTTTCATTCTCAGTAACATTCAGTAGTCAATATTTTTAGAGATGTGTATACTATATGCATAGTTGATCATTATAATATATAAATAAAATACATACGCATACACACACACAAAGTTCCTGTATTTGAAAATAAAGACTAGTAATTGTCTACATATATATGTATATGTTTAATGACTACTAGTCTTTATGTTTAAATACTGTAACCATGTGCAGTTATAGTAAGTGTATGCATAAAGTATATACATTTTTGTGCCTGCTGTTTTGAAAATGTAGGCATATATACAACTCATGCAAACCAAATGAACGTTGATGGTATGATAACATAAGAGGCAAAAGGACTTATATGGCATAGTTATAAATAATATAAATATGAATAACTATAAATACTAACTGATCATTGTAAATTGGACACCTTTTCACAGAAGTCTTTGATACCAAAAAACGTTTACCTTGATATTCCCAAGACTGCCTTTACACTTTGTTTGGCAGTCCTCGACTAACACAGAACTTAAAAAACAGAAGGTTTAATCTTGCAATGTGTTGAATGCTCCTGCTAATGACTGAACACCAGTGCCCAATGAATGAAATGTGATATCAGTACTTTAAAGATCAAGACAATCAGTACTTTAAAGATCAGGCCCAGAAATGTCATCTCTCCCCCTTCCCAACAAAATTTTAATAGCAGCTTTAACCTTAGATTTTAAGAACACAAAACTAAATCACATGAAGCGCAGCAGAACTTTCATCCAAGTACATCCATTCAGCTTCCATAACAAACAACACAGACAAGTCGTATGATTGTGGTTGCCTTTTCACCACAGGCTGTGCATCACAAATTATGGGAGATTCTCCAGCATAGTAATGGATTCCAGGTAAATTTAGTCATACTTCTTGAAAATCCAGAACCTCATGGCCTATTCCATAACCACTAGGGTGGAAGGCAAGAAAAAAAATAGAGTACTTGGACTTACCCAATCTGTCGATTTGTGGAAGGTGCTTGTGTTATGACTGAACTGGACTGTGGAGATGGCATGGCTTGTTGAATCACAACGCTGGTGTCATGGTTTGGCATCCTAGTATTTGTGAGCTGGTGGGTTCCAGGCCCTGCCATTGCTCCTCCAACTGTGTTATGCATTGAGATATTCTGTGAGAGGGAGAAAAGGAATGGAGGGGAAAAAATAAAACTATAGTTTCTTCTCATGTTTTGTACGACTAGAAGTAGAAAGCTGGAAGAAGTGTCAACAAAATGAAAAGTTATTTGCTCCTGGCAAACCTCAATAGATCTTGCAACTATAAGGAATGAAAAATAACCATTTACTTTTACAGAACAATACAAATGGAAAATACCTGGAAGTTGGCTAATCACTCTTCTGCCGTTCTGACTTGTGATGTATAATGGGGACATTTAGCACATTTTTCTGACTGACTCTGATATCTATTTCATTTGAAAATGATTTTTGTGATAAAGACATGACATTTTGATTTGCTATTCTGTTGTTTACTGAGTACTAGACCTGCTTGGAATGAATTAAGTGTAATGGTCTCAAAGTAGTAAACAATACATGGTATTCTATCATTACAGCCATTTCTTCTAGACTCAGTAGGTAACTTAAAGCAATATTATCCTAGAGCCCACTGAAGATGGTAATTACATATAATTTTGAATACATTTCTATCATTAGTATGTGGCTTGTTTTACAAGAGAAAATGTAGTAGCGAAAAATCCTATTATTTCTCTCTTCTCCCACCTGCAATCTATGAATATTATATACATCTTCAATAGTCATGACAACGCTCACATTTCTAACAACATTTTAATTCATGAACCAATTTCCAGTAGCAAGCATCAAAATAGCTAAAAACAACAATATTCTAATATTCACCTTGTTTTACAATCATACTGACAATAAAGTGATACTAGAAGGATAGTGATACTTGAATGGTGGTTCAATATGATCAGATACCACTACTAGCTTACTTATTTCCAAGTACTTTAGAGAAACAAGGGAGTATAGGAGCCACAGAAGTAGTAACAGTTCTCCACACAGGTTAAGGCATCTCTCACTTTCTTCTACTGACAGCAGATTCTTTGTCTGCACATACTTCCCTTCCAGAAGCAATTACTTGGATAAGGTTGCATCAGAAATTCCCATGCAGACCTTTCTGAGATTCAGAAAACCGCTGCTCATTTGTGCTCCTGGCCAGAATAGTTTTCTCCCAAGGGTCACAAAACAGTGACCCAGATAGACTACGCTAAGCTCCTAGTGGGGAAGGCATGCAACAGAGATTCTGTTCCCTCTTCCATGCTTCCTTTTACCTCTGTCCACACCACCAATGTAGGGTATTGGGCTGAATATTTTGGATACCCAGAACATATAAAGGGCACAAGAGCAACAAGTCAAAGCATAATAGTCACACATTAGAAAGAGACAGGCACTGATTGTAACCTTTGCTGACATCAATTGTACTCTGCAGAGGCATAGCACAGAACAGGACTGGGCGCAGAAGTGTTTCCATTTTCTTCTTCTCCTTCCCTATAATTTCATGCCTCCCTAAGCTATAAATGGTTTGTTGTTATAAGTCTGACAAGTCTTGGTTGCACATTATAATTGTAATTTTTACTTTACATGCACACACTTGTAACTAAGTCTTACAATTATAACCATTTAGAATAGACACTTCATATTTTCAGTGACTCAACAGTAGACTGAAAGCAAGAGAGCTGAAAAATTGAAATAACTATCAATACAGCCAACTATGAATTAAAATAAATAATTGAAATAATTATTGGTACATTGATAATTCCTGTGACTAATGTAAGAGATGTTTTCAGGTGTGAGTTACGATAAGACACCAAGCTGCAGAAAGCAAGCCTAACGTTCCCCAATGAATGTCAAACTTGGCCTGACTTTAATGTTTACCAGAAGAGAGTTTTGCAAACTAAGAGTTATTTTCATTGGAATTATGCTAATGAATTTACAGAGAAATTCAAATGTATTCATATCCAAGCTGAGCTCTGAACTGGATCCAAAACACTGAAATGTCCGTCCCCCCCCCCCCAAATAAATAAATAAAAAGCTTCATTTGAATTGCAGACTCTAATATCAATCTTTGACTGAAGCAGATAAACCCTAAATTAATGACTGAATCATTAGTTTGGGATTTGTGTTGCTTCCTATTCATGTTTGCTTTTAAGGAGTTCTGCATACTTCTCAGTGAGGAGAGCCTGGAGATCACCTCACTTTTTTTCCTTCTCCATCTCTCACTCTCATCAAGATCCTGACTGGGATAAAACTGACACAGGAGGGAGCTCTCATCACACCAGCCAAAGGATGAGGAGCTGAAGAGACTGCCGATTTACTAGGTTGGGAGAAGTCTCCCACTGCTTTTAGTAGAGGACAGAAATCTGTGATAATAGCTGGTCTTTTATCACAATTACTCTTCCATTATTCCTGACCATCTCAGAGCAGATATTTGTAGCTATATTATTATTAATCAGTTAGCACAGTGGTGCATCCTATGGTTTGCAGAAACTTGTCACAGGTCTCTCCTCATGGCTCTGAAAATTGGGTACTGGGGAGTGGTGGCAGTGTAAATTGCTGTTCCCCTGTCAAGTTTCTAGATTCTCCCCCTGTGGGGAGCCCCATGGTCTGGATGACGTGGTTGTGTGAGCTAGACTGTTTCAGCGTGTGGTTGGGCTGGCATGCAGGGTTGGTCCAATGCATAGCTGGATCTGGGTGAATGGGATAATATTCCCAGATCTGACCTGCGGACCAGCCCTGCATATGGGTTCTAGCCAATGGGCTCATCTAGCTCCAGGGACTCATCTAGCCCAGAAGGCCATATAGGTTGAGCACCACTGGTTTTGCATATTTGGACCCAAAGGTTACCATCGGGGATGGGGCCCCACTGTCCTAAGCACTATTGAAACACAAAGAAACAGGTTTTGCTCTAAAGAATTGTGTTAGGGATTTCAGGTCTTACCTCAGTCTCACTGGCCCACAGAAATATACTTCCAGCCTAAAACTTTCCCTGTGCAAAATGGAGTTTTATTTTTTACCTAGGAGAATTTCTACAATCTTTGATTTCTCCTCACCCTGAAGAGGGATGTGTGTGCCCATAAGCTTGCAAAGAAAGAATTTTTAAAATATTTTTAGTTGGCCTAATAAAAGGTATCACCTCTGAACCAAGACTTTTAGAGTTTTGTGTTTCACTCAGCCTCACTGAAAAAGAGAAAGACTAGCACTGGGAATTGAGGAAATCAGGTCCTAATTTTTTGTTAGATGGCACTGAAGAGTATTTGTGGCATGCCCATAGACCTTGTGTACTTCATTGTGTTTTTAACAATAATCTTTAAGCAAACACCAGATATAAAAGAGATAGTGTTTTTAAAGCTAATATTTTTTTAAACCTGATCCCAAAAAGATGATAATGTATTCTGAACTCAGATTCCCTTGGGAGTACAATATTTACATTATCTTCTACTTCCTAACTTCTTGCAAAAGTCAGTCTTCAAGAGGACACTTGTACCTTTTTCTTGTATGACCAATGGCTTGAAAGTACCACTTTCTTTTAGAGGCAGAAGTCTATTGGGGTTTTTCTTTTATGGTCTAGCAAACAGGTACATATATTGTGTCCAAAATAATACTAGCTGTTATCCTACTGCCAAGCATAGGAGGAAACAAAAAAACCTCTCTCTCCCTCCTGATCTTCTCCATGTCTTTGAATACTACTGCTCATCTACAGAGGGATCGCCTTGCTGTCCATCATAGGAAAGATCATTGCAAGAACCCTCCTGAACTGCTTCCTTCCACTTGCTGAAGAGCTCCTCCTGGAATCTGTGTAGGTTTAGGACATCAAGGGGTACAACTGAGATTCTCTTCACAGCTTACCAGCTGCACGAAAAATATCAGGAACAATATAAAACGCTCTGCGTGGCTTTCTTTGACCTCACACAAGCCTTCTACTGTCACCAAGAAATGTTGTGAATGCCCACTGAAATTTGTCACATTCTTTGCCGTCTCCATGACAGTGTGCGAGCGCTGGTTCTCAGTAACAGATCTATCACAGATCCCTTTGAGGTTAAGATGGGAGTTAAAGCAAGGCTGCATCATTGCTTCAACATTCTTCTCGATACTTATCATCATTCTTACCCAGAGACAGTGAAGAAACTGCCCCTCTGTCTAAGCAAAAAGGGTGCATTGAACTATTTTAGAAAAAGACCTACTAGTGAGAAATTGTTTTACTCTAGAGGAGATATGGACATGGAACCCCTGTAAAAATCTGCCTTTTATTACTGTTACTAGCCTATCAAGAATGATGTGGGGGGAGCAGGCAGGGACAGAGGCCTGTGTCCCTCTCACCCCTCCCCCCCTTCGCCTTGGGTCAGGGCTAGGGCCAGGGCCATTCCCCCTCTCCCCTCCACCACTTTGAGCTGTAAGCTCCCATTCCCTTCCTGCTCCCCTCCCTCCCCTGTTCCCCGCTGCCTCCCCTCCCTGCCAGCTGTTGTTGAGGAGGTGGGGGGTGCTGGCCCCTGGCTCCAAGGAGCAGACCAGGAGGGGGCGAGGCCAGTGCTGCTGGCTTTGCCCCCTTGCCCCACTCCATCACCTCCGTTATTGCAGCGCTCCAGGCCTTGTCATCCCCCCCAATCCCACCACCACCCCAGTGTATGAACAGCATTCATATGATATGCTGTTTTAGAATGTCCCAATGCTTGCAACAATACAAAGGC